AAATACTAATAGTAGGGGGAACTCAAGAGTCTTAGTTCCATAATCAAACATCTCATCTGAAACAAGAACAGAACGAATCCCTGAATGCAACCACTACAGGCAGAGAGAAGGAGAAAGATATACATATATATATATATATATAATATATATATATATATATATATATATATAGCAAGAGAGGTATAGCGATGCTGAGAGATACAGAGACATAAGGGACAGGGCAGAGACTGAGAAAACACAGAAAGGACACTGAGGGTAAAGATGTGGAGCGGTAATAAAGTATAGAGAAGCAAAGGGCTAGAGAGAGGCTGGATGCATATAAAAAACATTTCTTTATTACCATTCAGCATGACTGTTCATTCATTTTCAGTCTGGTAAAGAAAAACTGCATATAGCCACTAACTCTGTGATCCCCTGTAACTGTGAAAGCATATTTATAAGGTTTATTAATATCATCTAAGACCTCGTGGTCCATCTTGGACTCCAAATCTCCTAATATCTGTTGTATGTTCGGAAATGCTCACACACTTATAATTGTACAATTCCTTAGGGATACATATACATGCATATATTACATAACACTTAATTGGTAAACTAACTATTTACAGCATTTCTGCTTATTCCATTTCGAAGTCACAGTGCAGTCTAAAAGTCGGGTTGCAAAAGCAGAGCATGCCAAACCCACGCAGCAGTCTTTTCAAGCGGTCAAACATAAGGGAAGCGGAAAGCGTGTGTGTGTGTTTATGTGTGCGCACTGTGGTTGTGTCTGCAGATGCTAATCCCAGTGGTGTGGACAGATTGTGAGTGTTTTAAGAAGATTACAGATTACAGACTGCAGAGGCAGATTAGCTGGCAGCTTGATCTGCACCTCTGGATGGACTGCCCTGCTCTCTCACAGTCCCTTCTGTGTGTGTGTGTTTGTGTGCATGTAACATGCTTTTGTGCTTTTGTATTCAAGGGGAAATCATGACGCATCCGGTTTTCTTAAGCTTTGTGATGAATACTGATTTGCCAGGTATCACAAACATACCTCCTATGTCCCTTTCAGTGAATAAAGACCAGGAAATGGGGTACATATATACACACACATACTCCCAGTAGTCTGTAAAGATATTCTCGATGCCAATTATATCTGAGAGAATGTCACACACACACGCACACACAGCATGTGGATCAATGGGAAGGGCAGCCATCCAAGAGACAGTCAATTCTCCCTCTATCCTTTCTCTGTAACAGTGGAACCCCTACTGAAAAATGGCAGTATTTAACATGTAACAACCTGTTTAAAATACCTCAGCAGAGTAGGTATAGACTGAGTTCTTCTCTTTTTCTGTTACTGTTTTCACTGCATAAGAATTCAACCTTTGACTTAGGTATACACTTAAGAAGGATAGAGTGCTTTGCAGAATCTTTATCTCTTACTGAACAGAAGAAAACCCTGGTTCAATCATGAGTCAGAGCTCTGCTGAGACACCCCACTGAGTGCACTGGACTTAACTTACTGAGGTGAGGGGAGAAAAGGTAGCATACAAAAGGCCTGAGGAGGAGGAAAAGTGCACAGTTGTTGCATAATTCTGGATGTAGCCAAAAGGAGAATAACTACATGTTTTGATACAGGACATGAATGATATCCCGGCTGATGGAGAGGACAGGTTTATAGAGCTCTGTGCACACTGCTGAGGAGAAAGTCAAACATGAATGCATTTACACAGCAGTTCACCTTTGAACTGAAAAATGTCATTTTAGTTGTTTATGGATTTAGAATATTCACCCTGGAGCTAACTTAAAAATGTGCCATTGATTTATCTACCTTATGGAAGTGTCTATGAAAACAAACGAATACAAACTGGACCTAAAAGCAGGTGAACCTGAGTCTGAAATGGTCCAAAAGAAAGAAATCTGAATTTGGAGCCAAGTTAAATAAAGAGGAAAAGAAAGTAATAAAAGGGGGGAACTTGGTGAATGTTCGTTATCCTCATTCAAAAATGTATTTCCACTGCAGCTGCCTGCTCATTGTTTTCACCACTGCTGATTTAAAGAAATGTTACTGAGACACAGCCGGTTTGGAGTTGAGTAGGTAACTTGAATAGGCTGTCAATTTATTGTAACACTGAATTGTATCCATAGCAACAAGTGTCACTGGGGTGCCTCAGCCAAGTAGGCAGCAATGCGAACAACAAGGTTACAGTATGGTGTAAACAGGTTATGTGAAGTGTTTGACTGATTCAACTGTTCAACTTTAATTTCTCACATTTCGTTCCTTGGTACTATTGGATCCAATTAAAGTTCATTTGGACCTGCCTTGGTACTGGACCTGGGGTCAGATCCTCTGGTTTTCAGGGGCTATTCTTTAACATGCTCAATGCTACTTACTTACTTTAAGTGCTGTGAATCAAACTTTACACAGAACAAAGTCAAAGAAGAGCCCTGAGCTCGATGTAATCCTTTTTAGGTGCTGCTTTATTTTTTACAGCTTGTCATTTTTATGCTGACATTTACACGGTGTCAGATGAGTTTCTGTGCAGCATAAAACTATTCAGAGTAAAAAGAAGGCTTTACAAATATCAGAGGTACACCATGTCTCTAACGGAAATACTGTACAAACTCAGAGTTGCAGCTTACTTTTGTAAAAGCTGTTAAAAGCTTTAGGATCTGGAACAGTAAGCTCCAGGTTCCAATGATTTCCTGATGTCAAGACTTCACAGCCTAAAAAAGCTCTTTTCTGCTTGAGATTTAGTCCAACGTTCATTTAAACAGCATTGTCTACCATTATACAGTGCACAGACACAAGACCTCCTATATTGCATGGGAAAACCATAAATTGCACAAGTCAGCCAGGCCGGTTGTGGAAAGTGACAGAGAATGAGCAAAAAAAAAGGGTGGCTGGAACTGTAGACGGAGCAGACGGAGATGAGAATTGAAAGAGGGAGAAAAAGACCCTTCAACAGTCTTTTCTTTCAGTTTCCACACAATACTCTGTGCGTTTCTATGACGCCCTAGAGTCGCCTGCTGGGCCCATGGAGGCAGAAGTAAGAGGCCTGTTTGACAGTAGTGGAAAAAATCCTTAACCTTGGTTAGAAGCACTACAACATACATTTAATGAATTAAAACTAAAATGTCTTACATTCAAATGTCTACTTTTACAGCTAATAGTAAATAAGGAACGGCTACTTAAAGTAATTACCAAAAGTAGTCCTTATGAGGGATGGTCCCTTCCAGGCTGGTACTGATTAATCTACTGTATAAGTATTAAGAGGACTTAATACATCATATTCCATGATGACAATGTATGTTTTAAATGTAAAATGTGTATCTGCTGAGTAACTACAGGTGCAGTGGTACAATGTTTCCATCTGACATACGGTACAATATAGCTATAGAGCATCACAAATTGAAAATACTCAAGTAAACTGAGACTACCTCAGAATACCACAGCTACTGTTCACACAGTAGCTCACACTAGCAGGTGATTGGTGACAAAACCCACCGAATACTCACTGAGTAGTGATTTTATTGCAAATGGAGACCCCTTTTAAACACGTAGACGGGATAAAGCCCATTCAGACACAGCTACATATATAAAACTGATGCAGGCTGTGTGCAGACAGAAAGAGAGAGAGGAGAGAGTGAGGGTCTGCAGAGCACCACAGCTTAATGATTAATGCGGCTTTTAGCTGCAGCGGAGCCTGGGCCCCCCAAAGCAAACTGACCTGGTCGCCCATTCAACTCTCCCCTCTCTCTCTCTGTCTCCATCAACCCAAACCCAGTGACTTGCTACACACCATTGACTGCATTTCTACGCTAACACTTCAACATCCGTGTAACCTCCAATGTACATGCGTTTATCTTCATTTCACCCCCCCCCCCTCCAGAGTGGACAAAACCCCTCACATCAGGGACATCATTTTAACCTCTGTGTAAAGGAGCATGAAATAAAGTAAATAAAGGGTGTGTGGCCATACTCTTCTCCACAGTCAATTAGAAACATTAGAATAAGTGCAGTAAGGTCACAAAAACACACTACTGAATAGGTATAATAGAATAATTATTTAAGTCAGATATAAAAAAATACCATCAGGTATAATAAGATTATTATAAAGTCCCCATCGAGTACCAAAAACAGGCTACACCAGTCCCCAAGATGTTTTTCGTTGGAGGAAGAGGAGCATACATCACATAAGGGGAAGCACATGCACATTAAACAGAAGGACATATCTGATGGGTACATTAATAAAAACTTTCAACGGTTTTATCACTTTATAGAAATCAGTAATGAATAATCAATAATCAGAGCTCCGATACAAGGGGCGCCTTTATGAAACACGCGCCGGGGAGACAGGTGCCAAATGCAGCAAAGCCTTTCCTCCCGCCTAACATCACCCACAAACACACAACCCCTCAACCACTATGTTTCAGTGAGGGGGTCACTCCCCCACAACCGGCCCAACACACACACACACACACTAAAATCCCGATGCACCAGCACCAGCAGCAGCAATAGATAATTCATTGCAGTGACAGGAGCAGAGCACAGTGAATCCACAGGCTCTTCTGAGGTCCACATACACTAACTACCACACACCGATGGAAAAGTACACACTTTGTGGAGCCCGTGCAGAGCGCCGGGACGACATCCGCTACTACTGCCTCTCGCTGTTTGCACTGCCGCACTTACCTTTGCACTACAGCGAAAATGAGCACAGTTAGTTCCCATTTTGTGAAAAGGCTTTAGAATCCATTCATTCCCGTGTATCTCCTCCTGGTTTATTCAGACATCCACAGTGTGTTTCAGCAGGGAGAGTAATCCAGTTTTCCATCCCGGGGAGAGCGCTTGCAAGCTTCGTTACATCTTTTTCCACAATCCCCACAAAACTATGCCAGGCTTCTTTCAGCGCGTTTTTTTCTCTCCTCTCCTCTGCCCCCCTCTTCTTTCCTCTCCCTCTCTCTCCCTCTCTGAGGTTGCCTGGTTACCTCTTTCTGTAGGCTGGTTCACACCGCCGGACGGCAGCCAATCACAACGCAGGGTTCAACTTAACCCCTCGACTGCTGAACTGTCCTGATTTCTTCAGCTTTCAAGGAGTGGGAGTGGAGGGGGGAAGAGAAAAGCACTGGGTAATGGTGAAGGATTTAGAAAATGTATATTAACAAAATTATAATGAGCAAGAAAAGATGAAAGGCAAGAGGGAAAAAAAAAAAGTTGTGGGAGAAACGTCATCAGATTTGTGTTTCAGTGTTTGGTCATGAAGCATGTTAGTTGTAGTTTGGAGGCTGTTAAAGGATGACTGTACTGTCAGTTTACAAGTTTACCATCATCACACGCTCACTCTTCTTCTATACACTCATAGTAATACTGACAAAACACACACTCATCGTGTCTTGAATGCATGAAAGCAGTCATCAATGCTGCAGCCTTCAACCCAGTCATTCAGCATAGACTATTGATTGGTTAACCCCCCCACAGTTAAGTCGTGAAGTGTGTGAGTGTGTGTGTGTGAGTCATGGACTTGGCAAACTCACCATGGTGTCTAACCTTCTTACTTAGCAGGAGAACACTTTTGGAGTGAAGAAAATGTTGAAACGTGGGCCTAAAGACAGGAAATACTGCAACCTTAGTGTTTTTATTGATTAATCAGCTTAAGACTGACACAAGCTTGAATATAAGATGGTAATGCAACTGTGCTGACTTCACTGAACCATAGCATTTAGCCTTTTTGTGCCTTTACTCTATTCATCCTTAAGCCTCAACCTTGCACCTCCTCCTCTCCCTTTCTCTTCCACTTCCTCGCCTCAGATCATCCTCCTCT